CCATACATACATGCAAAGTGGCGTTAAAGCGGAGTTCCAGACATTTTTGTGTTTATTAAAAGTCATCAGATACAAAAACTGTAGCTGCTGACTTTTAACCACTTCAATACCGGGCACTTATACCCTCTTCCTGCCCAGGCCAATTTTCAGTTTTCAGCGCAGTTGCACTTTGAATGACAATTGCACAGTCATGCAACACTGTACCCAGATGAAACTTTTTTCATTTTTTCACACAAATAGAGCTTTCTTTTGGTGGTATTTAATCACCACTGGGTTTTTATTTTTTTTGCTAAATAAAACAAAAAACACCTAAGCCTTTTGAAAAAAAAACGCACTTTTCTTCGTTTCTGTTATAAAATGTTGCAAATAAAAAACATTCCTTCATAAATTTAGGTCAAAATGTACTCTGCTACATTTCTTTGGTGAAAATAATAATAATACTTTTTTTTTTCAAATGTTTCTATTTTTTTTTTTATTTTTTATTAAATTTTTTTCTTTTTTTTTTTACTATTTTATTTTTCAGCACACTGTGACCAAAGCAATACAATGTTACCATAGTAACATTGAACTACTCTGGGCAAGTGATCAGGATTTTTTTTTTTTTCTTTAACACATTATGATTGCTAATACCAATGTATTTAATTGATATTTGCAATCATTGTTACTGATGTTGTGATTAGCTGTGATTGGGCAAAGCTGATCACATGATACAGATGGGCTGTGATTGGCTCTGTCTGCATCATGTGACTGCTTTGACCAGTCACAGCTAACAACACAATTGTATGCAATGGATGGCATGACAGAAAGCCATCCATTGTATACAATCGACATGTGATCTGCTGTGATTGGCCACAGCGGTCACATGACACTGGAAACAGGTCGGTGTAGTGATATGTCATTGGCTGTGTCCCGTGGACACAGTTGGTGACAGATCGCGCCGTGTGAGAGACTCATTTTGACAGGATGTCATATAACACCCAGTCACAACGAGGAGTGTCCCACCCGGCCATCAATCTGCTATAGGCCGAGCGGGAAGGTGTTAATAAACACACACTTACCTTTTCCAGGGTCCAGTGATGTGCTCACCCGCAGCATCCTTCTTCCCTTCTTCTCTCCACGCGACGGCATCTAAACTCTGGACAACAAGCTGTGACAGCTTGCGGCTTCACAGCCGTGTGCCCACTGCGCATGCGTGAGTCGTGCTGCACATCCTGATTGGTCCGGCAGTTTTCTGTGAAGGTTACAAGGAGACTGTGGGAGGAAGGAGGGGGTGCTGCAGCAAACTGAGCTGGAAGTGGGAGCGGGTACCTGTCAAAACCAGGTACCTGTTCCCCCCCAAAAGCTGCCAAATATGGCAGTAGAGGTAGGGAAGAGACAAATAAGCGGAGCTTCCACTTTTGGGTGGAACTCCGCTTTAATGAAATCAGTGGCTAACCTGTATACATGCATGATTAAAAAACGCATAGATTTGAATGAGCCCTTAGACTTGCAAAAAAAGAAGCATAAGGTACCTTTTAACAACCAATGTATAAGGGCTTGTTCATTTATGTAGTCAAGGGGTGGTAAACTTGATGGTGTTTCTATAAAATACCCTAAAACAAACAGATTCCAGCTACAATAAATTTTATATATGATTATAATTCACATACTGATTCCTGGTCTGTTTGTGAGGTCCTGAGGAACAAGAGGATACCAATCTAAGGACACTCTGTACATATGTGGTTGATTATAGGGTAATTATGCACTTTATATATAGTTTGCAGTGATATTTATTAATTTTCTTTTCACATGAGTGCTGTGACACTGGAGTGTTTTTTTTTTGCATGATACACGTGTGGCACTTTAGTTCTGGGATTTAAAAGGTAATATACTATGTTGAGATTTTGTTTTTTGAGGTATTTGAAGAGCACCTGTGATTGATTTGCATCTTCTTCAGTGGAGTAGGAAGCGTCTTCCTATCAAGAAATTGATCTTTGTTTGGACACATTATTTGGACACTTTGCATATTGGGACTTTATTTTATTTTTGTTTTTTTATATATATTTTATATATTTTTTTATTTTTGGGTAATCTCTTTGGGTCTTGATTTTTTCACTATAATTGTGGGTTTTTTGGGTTTAAGTCAATGAATATATGTTTTATTAGTACTTCAGGGGAAGGATATTGATATGACTTTAAGGGATTTCTGAGGATTTTATATATATACGTGTGCTGATTTATACTTATTCTGATGGTGTTTCTACTGTCCCTCAACAGCTCCACCTTGAGCTGCAAAGGCAGCGGCCAGGGATGTACACATGCGGCAGCCATGGTGTTTTGCTTTGCAGCCGCTGCAGAAATTATACTCCCCTCGCAACTGTCAGTGTGATGGGTGGAAGGTGTGTAAAACTGACAAGCTGACTGTCAGCTGTCAGATGAAAGTGATCCGGCGTTCAGGCACACACCCCTGTAAGTGCAGGTCCCCCTCATTTGCCTGCTATGGCAGGTGATGCCTGGTGGAGGGGAGGGAGATCAGTGAATGTCTGTTCGCTGATATTCCCTTCCTGCTAATGATCTGAAAGCAACGTGTAAAATATCACTTTCAGGTACTGGTGACACTGGGGGGGTTCAGTCTGCACTCTATTAGCTTAATTGGGGGACAGGTCCCATTATTCACAGTTAACTCTAAACTGATGACCTGTTGGGACTTTTAACCACTTGCCCTCCAGAGGATTTACCACCCCCCCCAACCCCTTCCTGACCAGGGCATTTTTTGCGATACGGCACTGCGTTACTTTAACTGACAATTGCGCAGTCATGCAACACTGTACACAAATGAAATATATGTATTTTTTTCCCACAAATAGAGCTTTCTTTCAGTGGTATTTGATCACCTCTGCGTTTTTTTTATTTTTTGGGCTATAAACAAAAAAAGAATGACAATTTTGAAAAAATAAAAACTATATTCTTGACTTTTTGCTATAAAACATATCCAATAAAAAAAATTTTAAAAATGAAACTTCATCATAAATTTGGGCCAAAATGTATTCTGCTACATGTCTTTGCTAAAAAAAAAATCCCAAAAAAGTGTATATTAAATGGTTTACGTGAAAGTTATAGGGTCTACAAATGGTAATATAAATATATAAATATATATATATATATATATATATATACATTGGAATTTTTATTTATTTTTTTATACTTTTATACTAGTAATGGTGGTGATCAAAGACTTATCGGGGGACTGCAGCTGGTATAACGACACTGGGGGGGGGGCTGACTAACTGCCACTGTATCACGTACCTGGTGATGGAGGCCAATGGAGAGAGGGCTTCCCTTGTGGCTAAGTTCCAGGCTCCCCTGAGAGTGGGAGGGACAGCGGGAGTTAGGCCCAAAGTGGCACAGGTCGCCTGTAGGAGTGCTGGTTGGTGGTCCACTCAGAAGCATAGCTGGTACATGGAGATAGGTCTGCAGACAGGAGGCGCCTGTGCGTGGTATGTAAGCCCTTCCGAGATTTAGATGTTTACTGGGTAGTTGGTTCAAGCCAAGGTCAGGTACCAGGTGGGAATCAGAGCAGACGTAGTCAGATGGGATAACCGAGGTCATACACAGAGGAGCGAGAGAGAGAGTACCCATAAGCCAAGCCGAGGTCAGATCAGGGGTTAAGCAGAGTAGACAGGTCCAAGAGCAAGCCGAGTCGGTATCAGGAAATCACAATAACACAGGAAACAGGAACAGGGCACGGGGAGCTAGAGATCATCCAGCAACTTGAGGAAGTGATGAGCCTCATTATAAAGGCCGTTTGGCACCAAATTGAGGCTAATGTGTGCTTCTGTGGCCATGCAGGGTACTGGCAGAAATGTCAGATCTTCCAGAACTTCTGCACACTGGATGTTTTTGAAGCTACTGCTGGGTCCGTCAGGCATTTTATTTTCCCTCCCTTTAAACTCCCCTGCATGTTATCCTATGTGTCCATGCACACATGGGCTTTTAGCAGCATTTTGTTCCAGGAGAGTTTAGTGGCAGTGATGGGGCACTATTCCTCCCACTAATACCAATGATGGGGAACTATTCCTGCCCCTGTTGACTCCAATGATGGAGCACTATTCCTCTTACTAATACCAATGATGAAGCACTATTCCTTCCCCTGATATCAATGATGGGGTACTATTCTTCTCACTGACTCCAATGACGGGGCACAATTCCTTCCACTGCCTCCAATGATGGGGCACTATTCCTCCCACTGATAAAAGTGATGGGGCACTATTCCTGCTACTGACTCCAAAGATGGAGCACTATTCCTCTCACTAATACCAATGATGAATCACTATTCCTCCCACTAATATCAATGATGGGGCACTATTCCTCCCATTGACTGCAATGACGGAGCACTATCCCCCCACTGATGTCAATGATGGGGCACTATTCCTCCCACTGACTTCAATGATGGGGCACTGTTCCTCCTACTAACATCAATGATGAAGCACTATTCCTCTCACTAATACCAATGATGGAGCACAATTCCTTCCCCTGATATCAATAATGGGGTACTATTCCTCCCACTGACTCCATTGACGGGGCACTATTCCTCCCATTGACTACAATGATGGAGCACTATTCCTCCTACAGATATCAATGATGGGGCACTATTCTTCCCACTGACTCCAATGATGGGGCACTATTCTTCCCACTGACTCCAATTGGGGCACTATTCTTCCCACTGACTCCAATGATGGGGCACTGTTCCTCCCACTAACGCCAATGATGGGGCACTATTCCTCCTACTAATACCAATGTAAGGGCACTATTCCTCCTCCTGTTTAATGCAGGCACTATGCTATGTAATGTATTACCATGTCTGAAACATTGTCTACTCCTGCACTGATACAGGGGCATCAATGTGCCTGAAAGGACAGCAAACTGGCCCTTTGTTTAGAAAGTTTGGAGACCCCTGGTCTAGAGAATAAATGTAGAAAAATAGTAGGTGATGAGTTTTGTCCATGTTTCCTGTTTTCCAGACTATCCTCGAGTGTGTCCTGAAGAAGGGCCTAGTGTACAATAAAGCCAATCCCATCTTCCATCATTGGAAAGTCGAGGAGAACAAGTTTGGGCTGACCTTCCAGAGTCCGGCGGATGCTGTAACATTTGAGAGGAGCGTGCAAGCTGCCATGGAAGAACTCATAGAAGGTTTGTTTTGAAGTCAAGGAAAAAGTGTTGAGGTTCATATGGATTTTTTTATGGTCACAATGGTCCTTCATTGGTGGCACCATGTTATTAGGGTACAATAGATACAAAATAGCTGGCATCTAGGTGTTGAACAAAATTTAGTGAAACAAATATGAGAAAGTTGTGTTCAAAGGTACTCTCCAATTAGATGTGAAAAAGGACCCTTAAAAATAGACACAGGGTACAACTTACTTCTACAGCACTTCTAATGTTCACTCATCCATTGATTCTGCGCACAAAGTTGCCCTACACTTCATATGGTTGCTGATAGCTGCTGAAATTTTGCACACCAGGGATGCCTACATTCCTAATTCTGCATAAAGGGGTGACATACATCTTAATACATACACCCAAACCATTTATAGTGATTATTATTTCTATGAAATCATTATCTTCCCCTACTCCAGTTTCTTGCACTGTGTGGCATAGCTTAAATTGAGAAACAAGAGGCTGTATTCCTGCCAAGAGACACCCAGAAAACCCTGTTCAAACAGGCTGGAAGGGAAGCATAGGAAAATTGTAGGGCACTTGAACTAAAGAAAACATGGGAATCGAATTAAAAGAGAAGTATGGACTTTGTAAAAAAAAAAAAAAAAAAAAAAACATTTATACTCACCTACTATAGGTGGATGCAGCATTGATCTGATGCTGCATCTGTCCCTTGCTGGCTCGTCAGGAAGAACTGAGCTATCAAACACTGCTGATTGTTCAGTTCTCCCCCCTCACCCTGTATGACTGTCAGTCTCTGGGTCTATGCTGTGCCCCTCCACAGCTCGCTGGAGTGCTGGGCTGTGAGGGAGAGGGTGGGGTTGGCTCAGGTTCTCAGCAGATTGTTGAAAGGGAGCGAGGTGCTGCATCAGACATCTGGGTGGATCCTGATCATATGGTCGGGATCTTTTCAGGGTCTGGAATGGCTCTGTGATGTTTAGCTCTAGCCCGCTGTCAAAATAGCTTTGACTCTACTTCTTATTGAAAAAAAGATCATCAGGGCCTTGCTATAAAGAGTGCGCTGGAACATTAACTAATAGATCTACCTGGCAGAAGATACAGTATATGAATATTAGTAGTGTCTTGGGGAACCATCCAAGGACCATAGGACATCCATGTAGGCCTCACGCTGACCCTAGCATACCTGTCTGTTCATATACAACTGTCAACTTGTGGTCTCAGGATAAATCTATCTTCTTTCACAATAGGCTCTCTGTCACATTCAACATCCTCATCATCATCCTCTACCTCTCGGGAAGAAGCGCAAGCTTTGGAGGATGTCATGCCAGTAAGTATATAAACAAATTCAATGGAAATTAAAATTCGTTTTTATCGCCAAATAATAACATTGACTGCCACCAGCATTGAACCCTCAATGGGGGTGCTTGGTCTTGTGTGGCAGGGAACATTTACATATCTGTTACTCCAGCTATTGAGTAAAAGACACTTAAAGGCACGCTACATACCAAAAAAGAACAACCCATGCTGATGTCTGTGTGGTGACATCATCACCAGAACTATGCAGATACTGTCGAGCAACAGATCACAATGCCACCATAGATCTGGAGCTGGAAATTGGAATGTACATGCAGTCTTCCAAATCTGGCCATGTGCAGAAGCTATCCGGCAGAATATTAATATGTCCGACTGTGCCTACATTCACACGGCACCCTGCAGCTGGCTGTATTTTGGGGCAGACCCCACCCACAATGCCGTCCTAGGTATAGTGCTGCCTGTGAGAAAATGTACCCAATGCTTGGCTTAACTCCTTCTTAAAAACAAATATAGTGAGGGCTCCAAAATATGGGATGCAGAAGCTTGGATGAAACCCATAAACCATACACAATCTATAAAAGTTCATATTGTCATCTGAAATGCACCCAAAGCATAAAACCAATGAGTCATGGTATGTGGGGTGCAAAGAGATTCCTCTAAAGGTATGTGCCCCTGCGTCAAATCCAAGGAGTCCTGAGTGCAAACAACATGAAACATTCCTTCTCTAAAAACTTGATCTCTTATTCCCAAGAACATTTAAGCCAGTGTTTGCAAGAAAGTCAATTATGTTAGTCCTTTGGACGATCAGCAAAGCAGGATTCCCATTCGGCATAGAGCTTTTTTTACCAAAAAAGCTGACCACGTTGTTACAAATTTAGATTTAGATTTACTATCATTTATGTAGTGCAACTTCTGACCTGATTGAATATAAATTAAAGCTGGCACACAGGATTCAGAGACAACTGGGTTATACCAGGGGTGTATTTACCACAGGGCAAACAAGGCACTTGCCTAGGGCGCCATTTTTCAGGGGGGCAGCACCTCCCCCTAGAAGAAGGGATGAAAGAAGGGACACGCGCACCATGGGAACCAGGTGGGATCCAAGAGAGGCTGTGGGCTGTTTGATGGTGTATGTAGAGCCTGGCTCTCGCTCCCAGGGATGTCCAGAGCTGTTAAGATGAGTATCTCTCTATTGCCGGGGGGGGGGTGAGTAGTGGAAGGCTCTCCCAGATGGGGTGCAGGGGTTTGTTGGTCAATGTCAGGCTCTCTCTGCGGGAGGGGGAAAGGGGGTGTGGGTCGGTGCCCGTGGTGGCAGACGATTTTATGTGTTGCCTAGGGCAGCACAAAACCTAAATACACCACTGGGTTATACTCCAGGAGGATTAGGACACTGGCAAACAAAAAAAAAAGTGACCAGCCCCATATAACCCCTCCCAGTCCCATGACACAATTGTTTTTGCTAGTGTCCTAGGAGAATGGATGTCTTTTCATAGCTGAGAATAATTTTGCCATTTTTATTTTTTTTTTTCACCATTATTGTTTTCTTTAATCAACATCTCCCTATACACTGCTTGAGCTGGTCTCTATACACAGCTATGCAGATCGCCTATATTCACCACTAGCTTTGCAGGCCATACCTAGACCCTGCTGGACAGAATGATTATGGGGTAGACTGGAAAGTGTCTCAGGGCACTTCACTGTGCATTGTGGCCCTTTCCAGATCTAGGTGTATTGTATTAATTAGCCAACTAAATTTCAGTACCGAAACATCGGCCTCCCAATGACGCATATGTGCGGTGTGTGGGCCTTAAAGCCTACACTTGTATAAGCAAAGAAAAGCCGTCACTCTGGTGTATTCTCTGCAATCTTGTGTTTATTGGCGGATAACAGATAACAGCTTAAATGTCAACACGTTTCAGCCAAACTGGCCTTATTCATGAAAAAGGCCAGTTTGACTGAAACACGTTGACATTTGTGGCTGTTATCTGTTACCCACCAATAAACACAAGGTTGCAGAGTATACACCGGAGTGACGGCTTTTCTTTGCTCATACAGATCTTGTGGATGAGGAGTCAGCTTCCTCTGCCAGAGCACTGGTGATAAAGCTGCATTATAACACTTGGAGGTAGTAGAACCTATTTTCATGTAATTAAAGCCTGCCCTTTTGCTGCCACACATATGTGTTGTGCAGGCGGCACCAGGTTAAACGACTGTGTCTCAGATTTGCAAGGCCACCAACTAAGATTTACCAAGTGTTCCTGGCCTCATCTAATGCAAGCTTTCGGTATAAAGTCATTCAGGCAGCCCCTAGTTTTGTTTTCAGTTGTTGTGTGCCTCTTAGTGTTGTTTTTGTTGTTGCCCGCCCCTCATTTGGGTTGCTTTTGGATGTCCCAATTGTCTCTGATTCTTGGATCCTTCAGTGAACAGGAGAGAGAGTTGAATTTTTGTACTTACTGTAAAATCATTTTCTTAGTACATTGAGGGACTCAGGTTTCACCCCTATGTATTTATGATCTTACACTGGCATTGATTTTCTACAAAACTGAGACATACTGTGAGTAGAAGGGGTTATATTGGGCTGGGTTTTTTTGTTGGTTTGCCAGTGTCCAAATCCTTGTGTAGGTGGCAGTATAACCTAATTGTCTCTTAATCCTGTGTACCTCAGTAAACTAAGAAATGGATGTTAGTTTTAAATAGAGTGGGCAAAAGTTGATCAAAATAAAAATTCTTTTTTTTAGTAGTGTAGAACCATAGAACCTCATTTGCTGTCATCTCTTTCCAAAGGCAATAGACTCTGCAGAGTCCATTGTCGATGATGTGTGAAGCACTTCAATGTGCAATGCTCCTGTTAACTAGACAGTATGCGATCTAGGCTGCCTAAGGTTTAGATCTCAAGATGGAACAGCATCTTTATTTATTGCAAGAAAGAGGTGCTTTTTGCTTAAATTAATAAGATTTTGCAGTGATGACATCTATGCTATTGATTCATGTGAAGTGGAAATTTTAATAATAGATCCACTCTACTTTTAGTGTCCAATCAAATACATCTATGCAAGAGCAATAGAAAAGAAAGTTCCTTATATAATTCACAAGCACCAAAATGAATACATTTTTGTTAGTTTTGGATAGAGTGGAGATGTCTTAGAACCCATCAGCATTTATTACTGTCTGTATCCCTTCTGGGGAGAATCACTCCCTCTTTTTGTCTTACAAACCATTTTCAGAGGGAGAGAAAGTGATGGCAAGCCCATAATAGTAAAAACTATTCCTGTAACCCATCTCCATGCAAAATTCCAAGATGCAAAAAACTAAGTGTTGCATTCTATACTCCAGTATGCTCATCCTTGTATTTTAGTCTGTTGTCAGCAAAACTACTGAATGCATGATGTCTCCACCCAAGAAGACCACAATTTCTTAGTTGTTAGTTCAAATTACTTTTTATTCCTTTTTAAGTAAGTAAAAGTGTATAAAACACAGCCTAATGGTCATACCTAGGCTGGAGGTAAAAAATAAAACATAATAAACAGAAAAAATAACTGGAATCAAACTAAAGTCTTATACTATTAAGCTCTCCAATAGGGCCATAATGCTAAGAGGAGGAACCTGACTAAATTAAAAGGACACTAATGTGTCAACTCAGCAGAGGTAGTAGTAGAAGAGGATACCTTGGAAAACGTTTTTGGACAACCTCTGGATTCATAAGTGAATTTATATAGAATAACTGCTGCATTGACCAAGTATTTCCAGAGATCCAGAGATCCAGAGTGGGGGCCAAAGAAGATTTCCAGTTTAGAAGTATGGCCTTGCGTGGGTAAAACAATAACGGACCCAACAGCTTTCTCTTAGCTCTAGTAGTGGCCAAAAGATGGACTAGGCCAAGAATACAGACATCAATAGTTAAAGTTACAGAAATGGTAGTTATTGAACAGATTTCTCCCCAAAAGGGCTAAATGATGGAAAAACTCCAAAAGAAGAAGTAGACAGTTGGCCGGGTTCACAGGACAAAAAAAAACACAATTTCTTAATGTCTTTCACCATTATGCTATGTACCTTACCTTATCCTTGTGATCATGCTCTCATGGTGAAACGCATTAAGATGGGGCCCCCGGGCAATAGGGGATCATGGGGCCCCTGTGTCCTTGCCCAAACTCAAAAAAGCCTATGAAAAAGGTACCAGGGGCATCTCATGGGGCCCCCTACTGACCCCGAGCCCTCGGGCAGTGCCCGAGTTTCCAAATGGTCAGTCTGCCCCTGGTCAGAACTATGAACTGTAACTCAATGTCACTAGCCTTGTGTCCTCTTCTGATACACTCACCTCTTGTTTCTTGACCTTCCACTTTACCAGCTTCATACAGACAGTGAATCATCTTCTAACAGCCGGAAGGAAATGTTACCAAAACATATTACCATTGTCACTAGCGAGTCATCTTCCAGCTGCTATGTGAGATCGCCTGTTTCTGAAGAGTTCGGTTTTACCTCTGGTCCATCAGTTAGTCCCACTACACAGGTATGTCTTTGCGCAGATTGTTATGCCAGTGCAGACTTATGTCATCCTGTAGTATCCCTGATCACCACCACACCGGTCATATGGTGACGTTATACTGCACTGGTGACAGTATGTAAAAACGTTGAGAAAAAAATAAACACATTTTATTTAATTTCTTCATTTTCAAAAAAATTACAACTTAAAAACAACTTGCCATGCCTCTTACTAAATACCACAGGCTATCTACTTTCCATTTGGGGGGTTGTACTGTCCTGGCATTTTAGGGCCTCAAGAAATGAAATGAAATGCCATCAGTATATCAGGATTGATCCATTTTCAAATATATATACCATACTTTAGTTTGTAGATGCTGTAACGTTCATACAAACCAATTAACATACACTTGTTGGATTTTTTTTTTTTACCAAAGACATGTAGCAGAATACATTTTTGCCTAAATTTATGAAGAAATTGTTTTGAGCTAGTGTGTCCCGGTGTCCAGAGGCGCCGCTATGCTAAGTCTGTTGAGTTACTGCAGCTTAGCATAGAAATGCTGCCTGCTGACAAATGGGAAGATGGCATCTCCTTTTTCACTGAAATTGGGCTCATTAACGATTGTCACTGATCTTGGTGTGTTCTCTCCTGACTCCCGTACTGTGCCCCTCTCCCCCCCCGGTGTGTGCCTTCCCATCTGTACCCTGCTCTCCTGATTCCACTGGTGTGTGCCCTCCCAACCCCCATACTGTGCCCACCTGATCCTCCCTGGTGTGTGTCGTCCCAACCTCCATACTGTGCCCTTCTGAACCCCCTGGTGAGTACTCTCCCACCTGCATACTTTGCCCTCCTGCTCCCCCCCAGTGTATGCGCTTCCAGCCCCTGCACTATGCTCTCCTGATCCCCCTAGTGTGTGCCTTCTTGACCCCCATATTGTGCCCTCCTGATCCCCTTTGGTGTGTGCCCTCCTGACCCCCATACTGTGCCCTCCCAATGTTCTTGTTGTGTGTCATCTTGACCCCCATACTGTGCCCTCCCGTCCCCCATACTGTGCCCTCCTGATCCCCCCTGGTGTGTGCCCTCCCAACTCCCATACTGCGCCTTCCTGTTCCCTCTTGGTGTGTGCCCTCCCAACCCCCATACTGTGCCCTCCCAACGCTCCTGGTGTGTGTCTCCATGTCCCCCATACTGTGCCCTCCCGCCCCCCCTGGTGTGTGCCCTCCCGACCACCATACTGTACCCTCCTGCCCCCCCCCCCCCTGGTGTGTGCTCTCCCAACCCCCATACTGTGCCCTCTTGATCCCCCTGGTGTGTGCCCTCCTAACCCCCATACTGTGCTCTCCTGATTCCTCCTGGTGTGTTCCCTCTCAGCCCCTGTACTGTGCTCTCCTGATCCCCCCTTGTGTGTGTTCTCCTGACCCCCATACTGTGCCCTTCTGCCACCCCCGGTGTATGCCCTTCCAGCTCCGGTACTGTGCCCTCCTGATCCCCCTGGTGTGTACCCACCCAGCTCCTGTACTGTTCCCACTTGATCCCCCCTGGTGTGTGCCCTTCAGCCCCCCATGTACTCTCCCCTCCAGACCCCCCTGTTGTGTGCCCTCCTAACCCCCGTACTGTGCCCTCCTGCCCCCCTGGTGTGTGCCCACCTAACCCCTGTACTGTGCCCTCCTGATCCTCTCTAGTGTGTGCCCACCCCACTCCGGTATTGTGCCCTCCTGACCCCCCTAGTGTGTGCTTTCCCACCCCCCTTACTGTGCCCTCCCAACCTTCTTGGTGTGTGCCTTCCCGCCCACCGTACTGTTCAATCCTGACTCCCCTCCACTTTGCCCTTACCCCCTGAACTGTGGCCTGCTCTCTTCTGACCCCCTTTACTGTGCATTGCTGACCCCCAGTACTTTTCCCTCTTGACCCCCTGTCTTTTGCCCTGGTGACACCCAGTGCTTTTCCCTACTGATCCCTGTACAGTGTGCTACATTCCACTGATCCCTGTACACTGTCCTTTTTCCCCCTGTCCTCTGCCCTACTTACCACCTATCCATTGCCCTGTAACTCCTGTCCTCTGCCCTGCTGACCCGCAGATGCACTGTGGGTTGAAATGCGTGTGGATGCCTTTAAGAATGAATGGCAGCTCCGCGAGTCTCTACAGAGCCACTTGTTTTGGCCACGAGTGGTTGTGGGAACATCTGTGATTCCTGCACCCTCAACCACCTGCTACTGTGTGACTGTCACTACTCTGCTCACAGTGGCAGTGAGAACTCAGCGATCAGCGTTCATGTGATCGCTGAATTCTCACACTTAGAGCCGGCAGACGACAGATGCAGCATCGGGCTGATGCTGCATTCACCTAGGTAAGTATGATTTGCCAATAAAAACCAAAGCTTTACTTCTCTTTTAAACTCTTGTGAAATATGAGCCACTATGACCATTCTTTACGCCGCTTTTTCTGCCAGAGGTTCTGGCATTTTTTCTGCTCCAAATGTGCATATACACTTAGGGTAGGCTACATTTATACTTTTACAGTAACATTTGTTTTTTTGTATTTTGCTAATTTTTCTTCATTTCTTCATCCACTTTTTTAATGGAAAGTGGAAAAATAGCACCGGACCCATAGTGTTTATTTCATTCTTTTAAATTTTTATCTTAACGTTTTGATTTTGATGTGAATGATCTGGTTCTCGGACAGGCAGCTTCTTCACCCCAGTGGATCTCCATTGTCTCCTTGGCTTTTAGTGTAATGTAACAAATATGAAAATTGAAACTCAACTCCACTGCTAAAAGGCCCAGATATCACATTTTTTGGATTGTCCCCCTGACTTTTATTGATAAAAACTGTATCTGGGCCTCTTAGCAATGATGTGGGGCTTCATTTTAATTTTTCTTTTACATTCCCTTTTAGTTAGGCCTTGCTAGTTAATTCCTTTAAAAAAAGGGTGCTACACCCAGGTGATCTTTGATTGCTTCCTTATTGTTTAGGTAGATCTTCACCTCTCAAAGGTTGCCTACCATTGCCTTTGAGTAAACAGCTTATCACAGTTATATATATATATGTGTATATATATATATTGTAACAGTGCAGGGCCCTGTCACAGGATAAATGCAGGTAGAAGTGGTCATGTAATGGACACAGGGTCTGCACATGTGAGGAGTGCAGAACTGCGGAGCATAGATTTTGAGTGGAGAAAACTTCTGTCGCAGGTTTCTCCAGATTTTGTTATTTATGGATGGGGCTCCGTAGTTTGGAGATTTCAATGTGTCTTGGGAGGGAAGAAATCTCCAATCCTGTGTCCAGAGTTTGAAAGCAGCCAACACACTAATGGTACAGGTGTGTGCAGGACTTTAAATGAGTGTCTCTGTGTGAGACTGATGCTGGGTGCGGTTCAAGGACTCCACGGTTGTATGCGGACCAAGGACTCCACGGCTGTGTGCGTTGGAGGGCTCCACCCCGGCAGACAGGAGGCCATTGCCAGGAGTCAGGAGGGTTCCACCTAAGAGAGGTGGAATCCAGAGCAGCCAGGGGCTGCTAGCTGTATGCGAGTGGCTGACAGCTGTGTGCAAAAAGCCATATTTTTGGAAGGAGGCTGTGTGCATCCAAGGAGTCCAACGCTGTGTGCTGAGACTAGCCAGTGGTCTGGGAGACACATATAATTAGAGGTACTGCTAACCAGCAGGGCTGATAAAGAGGGCCAGGAGGCTGAATATTTTCGTTTGTTTTGATGGTGAAAACCCCTGCGTGGGAAACATGTTATTGGAACTTTCTTTTCAATAAAATTGGGCTAAAAAACCCTTAAAAAGAAGAAGCGAGTTGCTTTGTGCTTTAAAAGAGATCTACAATTTGATGCGAGTTCCCACAATATATATACAGTATATATATATATATATATATATATAATCTTTGATACATTTGTATATTGTAATCTTTCCCCGTTAAGCGCCTCTTCTTCAGAGTGAACAATTATAAACTACTGTATATAATCGATCCTCATAGCTGAGTTCCTCCATCCCCCTTATTCATTTTGTTGCCCTTTACTACATTGCTAAACTCAAATAGTCATACCTGAGGACTGGCGAACAAAACTGAACTGCTTATACCAGATGAGGGTGAAGCAGTGTTTTGTAAAGGGGTAGAATAATTGATTAATCTCTGGAATGTATGACCTTTTTACTGCATGAGAGTAGTATGCTGGCTTTGTTAGCTGTTAGCTTGGCACTGCATGTGATTGCTAAGTCTGTAATTTGTGACATGTTTCTGATGTTTCAGTATGGTACTGACTCTTTGAATTGGTGTTTGCTGGCGTATTTCTGGGTAATGATGTGCAGTAACCTCTAGCAACCAATCAGTGAACAGTAGTGATCTGCTGTAATTTCTAGCAACCAATCAGTGAGCAGTAATGATGTGCAGTAACCTCTAGCAAACAATCAGTTAGCGATAATGATGTGCAGTAACCTCTAGCAACCAGTGAGCAGTAATGATGTGCTGTAATTTCTAGCAACCAATCAGTTAGAGGAAATGATGTGCAGTAACCTCTAGCACCCAATCAGTGAGCAGTAATAATGTGTAGTGACATCTAGCAATCAATCAGTGAGAGGTAAGGATGTGCAGTAACCGCTAGAAACCAATCAGTGAGCCTGGACCAATCAAAGAGTGTGGACCAGTTCTTTATGTTTACATTATAAGTTTTTTTTAGATAAGTCCATGTGTGCATTTGTTTGTTTTCAGGGATGTTGGGGTGGAGAGCGAAATTGCATGGGTGGGGGGCAAGAAAATGTTTGCTCAGGTTATAATCAATATTAAAGATGGCCTGAACTGTATTAGTGTCACTTGAGATGGCAGTAGTAGTTAGTCGGTTCCCACAAAGTGTCAGTTGTTGTCAGATTGCCCGCCGTATTATCACAGTCCCAATATAAGTCGTTGATCGTTGCCATTACTGGTATTAAACAAAAAAAAAAATCCAGTATGTACAGCATTACATAGTTTGTAGACATAACTTTCAAGCAAACTAATCAATATACACTTATTGGGATTTTTTTTTTACCAAAGATATGTATGGCCCAAATTTATGAAGAAATTAAATTTTTTTTAAAAATTGTATTGGATATGTTTTATTGCAGAAAGTAAAAAAATATTGGTATTTTTTTTTTTTTCAAAATTATTGGTCTTTTTTTTGTTTATATCACAAAATAAAAAAATAAACCAGTGGTGATCAAATACCACCAAAAGAAAGCTCTATTTGTCTGAAAAAAAATGTAAATTTTGTTTGCATACAGCATTGCATGACTGTGCAATCACCAGTTAAAATGGCCTGGTCAGGAAGGGGGTAAAATATTCCAGAGCTGAAGTGGATAAACAACTTTGTATTTTCTGGGAATGGAAAGGTTTACTTGGAATGGAAAGGTTGAGACCTGTGAAAATGTGGAATAGACTCCCTCAAGAGTTGGCCCTGGCCAGCTCAGTGGATTGCTTAAAAAAAGTCCTGGATTCTTTCTTAGATACACAGAATATAACTGGATACTAACATTTATAGGTAAAGTTGATCCAGGGAATATCTGATTACCTCTCGGGGGATCAGGAAGGAATTTTTTCCCCTGCAGGAGCAAATTGGATTATGCTTTGCTGGTTTTTTTTGCCTTCTTATGGATCAACTGTGGGTATAGGATTATAACTTTTTTTTTTTTTTCATGGTTGAACTGGATGGACTTTTGTCTTTTTTCAACCAGACTAACTATGAAACTATGTAAGTATGATTCTTTGCACTTTATATAGTTTGAGATGATAACATTTCTACTCTTTCACAGTCGCAGCCTCTGCAGCGCCTATCGTTCCATGACGAGGAAGAGCTGGAGAGCATCAACCCTTGCAAAGACCTGTGGGTGTCGAAGGGTTACGAAGATTACCGGCGTGCGGCTCTTCAGCGGCCTGAGCAGCCCAAGTCTGACCTGCGAGTCCACTTCCAAAAAGCCAGCGGGAGCAAAGCCAAGGATAGGCATTTTCCAGCAGTGGTGGGCACGACAACAGCGGAAAGTGAGGGGCCTTTGAAGGACCCTAGAGCCTCTCCTTCCTGTAGGATTCATGGCACGCCTTCTCCTAAGTCTAAAGAACACTCTCACATGGCAGGAGAGGAGGATATAGCCACTGCCCGCTGCGTGTATTGCAGAGACGTATTCAGCAGCGAAGAGAACGGTAGAGGGCAGTGCCAGGACGCTCCAGACCCCATGGGGCGTTGTGTCTACCAGCTTTCCTGCATGTGGTGTGCTGAGAGCTTACTGTACCACTGCATGTCAGACTCAGAAGGCGAGTATTCGGACCCCTGCTCCTGCGACCCGGGGCACCCTCACTTTTGCATACGCTGGGCTGCCCTGGTAGCCTTGTCCCTTGTGGTCCCCTGCATGTGCTGCTACCTCCCACTACGGGCGTGCCACTGGTGCGGGGAACACTGTGGCTGCTGTGGGGGTAAGCATAAGGCAGTGCGGTGAGAGGAGAACAGGGTGCAAGGAGGAAAGTTAATTGTTCTGTCTCTAACCTCCTGAGAGCCAGCAACTATTTATATGGTGAGATCTGCCACCATCTTTGTGAGTGCGCAGGTCTTGCGTCTGGCCGGAGATTTGTGTTTTATTCAGACAGGCTGCAAAGGCAATGACCTACCAAATAGAGGCAGGAGAGAATTCTGTTAAGAAACGGTAGTTCCAGCAATTACAATTCAGCCTAACAATATACCAGTCTGTTATTTATTACAGGTCGGGGGTTTAGATTCCAAAGAAGACCAAAATGAGATAAGGTCAGTTTGGAACTCACTGGGACTAATTTAGGAAAACTGGAGTAAAATTGGAGCTGGGGACTACAGAGGCCAGTCCAATACACAAGGGCTGAGTTATGAAAAGAGGAGCCATTGGCTACTAACAAATCAGGTTTTAATCTGACAGGTGAAACCTAACTACAGCCAAAACATTGGGAGGTTTTAGGTCACCTTTGAGGTCTTTAAAGCTGCCCTGGTTGAGGAGATCCCCCTTCATGTCATAGTACCAAAAGTACAGAAAGTGAGGGGGGTCCCCCCAATGGGGATACAGAGACCAATAAAAACATCTAAAATGTTTAAACACTAACTCATTTCAGAACTAATATTTTTTTTTTTACCAAGCAGAAAAAAAGCAGAAAAACTGTAGAAAAAAGTACAACTATTCTTTGCAAAAGATTTAACAATTCCCATTTGAAAGCTAAAATGTTATTGCTTGCTACAGACAGCAGCTCCACTTTTGCTCCAGTTTTAATGAATCAGCCCCTAATTCCAGGAAGCTGCATCTTAGAAGGAGACATGAGGCTTGGGTGATTTCCATTGTCTCTAAGAGGAATTCATTTGGCTGATATATATTTATTTTAACTACTATTTGATTGTTGTAATACTTTATGTTGTAATTTCTTGGTTAATATATACCTAACAATGGTTCTACAAAATGAAAGCACTTGAAGCCCGATTTGCCCCGAGCTACATCCATTCTGCCCAAGATACCCATATTTGGGCATACCTCACTTATCTTTCCTAAACCTCTAAAATTTGGTACTCAAATCGGGACAGTTAGGAAAGGTATGGTTAACGTTTAGAACTAGGCCAAATTGATATATTTTGCCATTGAGAGGGTATAATTTATTTCAGTACTATGTTATGTAATTAATGTAAAAATAGTTATATTGTCAGATTAATACTTTTTATATTCCCAACTTTATTTATTATAGTTCAGGCGGTCTCGCCCCATCATATTGTAATTCATGACACAGACACAGTGGCCTTTATTGAATAAGGCCAAAGAGCAGTATACAGAAGCCCAAGCATCCAGTCAGAAATAACCATTTCATTAGCATGATGACGCTAAGTTGTTGGAACCTAAATGTCCAAATGATTGCCATCACTTGGGGAATGTTGTAAGGCAGCACAGAGATCAGCAATGATGTACAAAGGGCATTTCCTCACAGCAACCAATGAGATTTCAATTAACAATGGTCAGATTGGAGAATGATAAATTCTAATTGGTTGCTATGGGTTATTGCACTTTGCTCAGTATTTGTGAATTTAATTAATAAGTCCCGGTATTAATAAACAAGCCTTGTTGATGTACGGAGCTCCATAATGAATTAGTATAGTTGTTAAGACACCTCAGAGGCTGGGAAACTAAAATTATGATTACAGTTGTGCTATGATTGGATATTTCAACTAATAACAGCAAATATGAAGTCAGAAAAACAGACGGTACTATGACTCTAGGAAGGTCTTGAAAGCAATCTGGTTTAGACATCAAAGCGATCATTTACAAGGTTAGTCCACCCTAATATTTTAATTGGACTTTTTTTAAAGCTGACATACCTGTAACAGCTTTTTCATTGCCTCCTCAATTCCCAAATGCCAGGCTTTTCTAATTTCGAGGTAGCATCAAGCCTTAGCTGCTCCTGACAACCCTATATCATCTTATTAACCCATCACTATGATGGGCTTCTTCACTGGGCAACAAAAATGTGTGTTTTTTGAGAGGGGGAAGTGCAGTGGAAAGCTCCATCACTACATGGAAGTGCAGAATGGCCAGCATTTGGGCATATAGATGGCAATGAAAGGTGTCTTCTGGCTATACCTGTTGGCAATTTTTTTTTTTTTTTCTAAGTCTCCCATTCTTAAAGTTTAAATCTTAAGGGAACACCTGTAGCAACAGTATCTATCATTGCTCTTCATGGAGTCTTGCAAATGTTGAAACTCCATTCCAGAGATCATGTCATGATTCATGAAGTAATTGAGATTACAAAGACTATGGGGCCTTACTTGTATGAAGAACTGTTTGTACCGCTCATGACAACCAGTTAGATTCTCCCTTTCATTTATGAAAAAAATAAATAAATAAATAAAGAGGACCTTGCACTACGTCACATAAAAAAAACAATATCTGTAAATAATATAGCATTTCAGCTTAATATTATCATGTACTAGATTTGCTAGTGCCACTGTCCACTGCACAAATGGCCTGCTTTCTTTCAGACTGCATTCTAAAGCTGCCATACTTGCCCGTTGAGAGAAAGATTACTTCCCAGTTTTATCTTCCCCTCATTTCCTCTGACGATATCTGGGCTGGGTAGGATGGAATTTGATGACATCACATGCCACATGACCAGCAATCCCATGTGAACCATGTTGTCAGCTTGGCACGGTGCCATGCCAGGTCTCACACAGCAAAGTGCCAGGCATTTTACTGCAGAACATAACACATGTAAAGTTTTACACATATGTGCACTTATGTACTTTACAAAGCTAGGGGAGCAATGCTGACTATACAGGTAAAATGTGTTAATGTTTCACAGAAGGGCCACTTTCAATGTTATTTGCAAAATCAATGATTTCCCCATACCACTTACAAAATCATGTCAGTTGGAGCTGCACTTTAAATTGAAGGTAAAGTTAAATAGTAAGTTATTCCAGCCTTTTGAATGTTATCTTTTGTGGAACTGAACTCCCATGCTATAGCTAATGTTGTCCAGAAGCTTGCAGGTGCTGCAATGGGGTCTAACAGATGTCCAAGAATGGGGTTAAGCATTAGATTTCATGCAGTTCAAACCAGAAAAGCGAATATGGTTGGATGTCAAGATTTCAAATCATCGAAGTGTAAAGTAAATCAAAGTTTATGGTTGGCCAGATGATGGTGAGCCAGTCCTTTTGTGAGTCCTATTGGACAGACTCCCATTAATTACCATTGGTGCCCTTGTAACCCAGTTCTGTTCTTTGTTGCCCCCTGTATTCTTTAACATTTGCATTTATGCCTGTGACTGATTGAGAACACCTCTAAAGGATAAAAACTAAAACAGCTATACAAAGGAATCCAAGTGGAATTTTTATAATCAAAACAAAGGGTCCAAAATGTGTTACTTTCATATAGCTGTTTAAAAATAAAAATAAATCATGCACTTGATGTGACAGACAATGAAGGATGGGAGATTTCAATGCCTTTTTATGCCAGAGACAATGATAATAAATGATAAGGTATTAAAAATGATTGAGTTTATACCTGAGACCTAATGATTTGTTAAATTGAGTACCCATTCATTAATATGTTCTGTATGAGTTTTATGAATTAACAGACTGCTCTTTATTAAGTAGCACAGTGCAAATAACATGATTGTACCGGAGCTCATGGTGACCAATTACAGTAATTTAATGCACTGCCTTTCCAGACAGTGCTTTACTTGCTATCAGTAAGTTCATCAGTGTAATTTAGGGTTTCAGTAAATCATAAATATACAGAAAGGATATTGGACCTGTACATTCCAATATGTACTTTTCTAACACCGTCAATACAATAAAATCCAAAATGTAATATATTGCAGTGTACCAATCTTTTGATGTGGTGGCTGCATTAGTTTTCCTTTTTTTAGGCTTTCCCCCCTCTGTTTTCACCTGGTGATTCAGCCAGTAACATGCCTCCTGTATTAGAGTGCCTCCACTTTGGATCAGGAGAAAAAGAGCAGAACAGCAGTATTTTTAATCTGGGGGGAAGGGGGTGTTAGATGGACTAGCAGATTTAGTTAAACTAACAATTTGGAGGCTGACTCCAGCTAACACTTAAGCAGTAATAGCAACAGTTTTTTTTTCTTTTAGGCTCCATGCACACGGGGCATTTTAATAACGCTGGTAACATTAGCTGTGTAAATTTACATTAAAAACGTGAGTTTTTTAGTGTTTTTGCATTAGCGTTTAGCCGCGTTTTCTCGCATTTTGCAGTTTTTAGCGTCTTTTTTTTAACCCTTTGAATTTTTTTTTTTGCTAAAAAAAAGTCCAAAAACGCCGGTTTGACACGTTTTTACCATGTTGTGCCACATTTTTCAGCATTAAGAGCGTTTTTACAGCTAAAAAAACTCCTCTAGAAACCCACTAGTTCTGGGGTTTTTTTCCAGCCAAACAACGTCCCAGCCAAAAAACGTTGATTACAGCCTATGTGTGCATGGAAACATGGGATAACATGCTGGGGAGTTTACTGGCTGTAGAAAAAACACCAAAAGCCAAAAACAGCCACTGTAAAAACGTCTAGTGTGCATGAGGACTTCGGGATAAAGGTTTTACATAAATAAATTTAAAAAGCTGATCACTGTAAGCACCCCTGGCAGTGTTAAATGGTTTGTTTCAACTCCCTAACTGCTACATCTGCAGGACAGCTTGTTCTGTTGAAAAGCAACAAACTTACTAGCTGGATTACCAGGTAACAATAAAGGAAAGAAAGCAAACTAATGCAGTCATCACATCTAAGCACTGGTAAGCTGCAGTATAATAAATGTTTGCTTTTGGATTTAAATTGACCTTGTGCTTTGATATAAAAAGTGCCAAAAAAATTATATATCAAAATATTATTTCAAAACAGTGTTTGTGCAATCAATCCCATTAAACCGCACATAAAGTGGCTAAACAATAAATCATTATTTCCTTTTTATACATAAAAAATTACCAATATAA